TTTCATGGAGACTTGGAAGAAGAGATGTATATGGAGATATCTCCCGAATTTGATACTGAACAAAGTCAAGGAAAGGTGTGTAGACGGAAGAAAGCCCTATACGGACTGAATCAATTCCCTAGAGCTTGGTTTGATAGATTCTACAAAGCAATGATCTCCTTCGCCTACCAACAAAGCAATGATGACCATACTCTCTTCATAAGACATCAAAAGGATAAATTCACTCTTCTCATAATTTATGTTGACGACATAGTAATGACAGGAGATGACAAAGGGAAAATGACCTGACTGAAGAAGCTATTGGCACAGGAATTTGAGATAAAAAATCTAGGAAAATTGCAGTACTTCTTGGAATTGAGGTTGCTAAATCAAAAAGAGGAATCTTTATTTCTCAAAGAAAGTATATTTTGGATCCCTTGAAAGAAACTGGTATGACAGGTTGCAAACTAGCGGAATCGCCCATTGAAAATAATCACAAGTTACAAACTAGAGTACATAGCATATTCAACCAGCTTGGTGAGTCAGTTTATGCATGATCCTCGAGATCCTCATATGCAAGTTGTCTTTCACATTTTACGGTATCTAAAGTCTGCTCTAGGCAAAGGTCTGCTTTTCTCCGAACATGGTCACCTTCAGGTAGAAGCCTATACAGATGCGGGTTGGGCTGCATCTTTAGATGATAGAAGATCTGCATCCGATTACTGTACTCTCATAGGAGGGAATTTGGTTACTTGGAGTAGCAAGAAGCAAAGTGTAGTTGCTAGATCAAGTGCGGAAGCGGAATATAGAGCTATGGCCCATGGTGTTTGTGAACTTCTTTGGTTACTAAAATTACTAGAGAATTGAGACTCTCTGAAAAGCGGAAACATTTCTTATATTGTGACAACAAGGCTTCCATCAGAATAGCTCATAATCTAGTCCAGCATGACCGAATAAAGCATGTTGAAATTGATCATCAAAGGAAAATTTACAATTTGTGTCTTGAGCTTGTTTCATCACTTCATGTATCATCAGAAAAGCAGCTAGTTGATGTGTTACCAAGGGTCTCAATAAACAAAACGGACTTTTCATACACTGGTTTGCAAGTTGGGCATGTGCGTCATCTTTGCACTAATTTGAGGGGGGTATTGATTGGCTTAATGATTGGAAAAGATTTAATTATGTTGATTGCTTTAATTATTATGAGAGATTTGATTCTGATTGAATTGTAATTTATTTCCCTTCTTAAAATAGTCATAGGACCTAGTATATAAATACTTTTACTTGGGGATGTAAGAAACACACTGAAATACAAGAAGCTTTTTCTTCTTCTCAAAATCTATAGTTTCCAAAATCAATTAGGCGCATATATTTTGTTTCAGCAAAAGTCTACATGGAAAGGAACTCAAAATATTTCAAAAAAATAAAAACATCTCACTTTTTGTCTTTCATATGATTTTGAGATTCATCACATAAGGCCTGATGGGTTATTATATGAAGCAGAAGCAATCCAGTATCAAAATCACATGTAATCTAGACAATTAGCATATACAAAGTTATACAGGTTACCTCTTGAAGCACGAGCACAACTTGTCGATGAAGTAGCCCTCTAGTTTCGCGGATGGTCAGCGAAAGCACCACCAAGTTTGCTCCTCACCGGCAAGATCATGATCCAGCAGTTCCACGATCTTCACCCGTGTTACCCAGATAATACCCAAAAATAGCAAAATTCGAGTGAGCGAATTTCACTAGGAAAACATGTCCCAATTACGGCTAGAGAAAACGCTGACCTCTAGAGGGAAAAACTCATGTATTTATAATACACATTTTAAGGGTTTAACGCCCTTTTCCAAAACCTATTGGAATTTCTTTTTCACCACGAAAAGAATTTCTTTTATTTCCTAATATTCAGGTGCAACAGGGAACACATAATTCAATTAATAAGCCTTTGTATAATGGAATTAATTCGTAATATTTGAATTAATTCTATCATAATAAATCACGCGTTATTCCACTAAAAATTCGTAATTGCACTTAGTTCAATTTTAAAATTTCTTCCATTAAATCTATTTAATTCCTCATGTTAAGATTCATATACTAATCAATGCCAATTTAATTTATTACTTATTTTCTGTAGACTTTTACTTAACTTATTTTATGTATCGGATACAAAATTCATCGATGAGTTAAGGTGTATCATCAATCTCAATATGGAGACATGAATTCCTTCAACTAATCATTACATAGCCAATATATATCATTATTGTCTAATTTACCAAGCACATTGACTCACAAAAGAATCTCGCCTTTTAATAAATTAGAATAATAAATAATATACACAACTAATAATTATTATATCAAGATTAAGAGTATAATTATATTTAATGGACCAGAGGATTATTTTATTAAGTCAGTATAAAATATTTATCTCTACTTGGTCTGTTTAATACGTACAAAATATACTAGTGCAAGAAGTCGGAATTAAACTATTAATTATTCTGATGGTTTGTCCAATTTCATCATTAGATTGTGAACTTAAACTTTATTCTTGTAAAAATCAATAATTTAATCTTTCGTGTATAAGCTAAAACTCTATACGTTAAATCATTTACTCCCTCTATTTCAATTTATATGTTATTTTGACTTGGCACGGGGTTTAAGAAAGTAAGAAAGATTTTTAAATCTTGTGTTCTTAAACTAAAGATGTGTGTAAGTACCAAAATGCCCTTGAATTTTGTGGCCTTAAATATGCCATGTGGAAAGTTGGAGTTAAGGAATTACTAAACATAGAAAGAGGCATTCTTTTTTGAAGAGACTAAAAGAGAAGTAAGACACATAAATTGGAACGAATGGAGTACTATATAAGTAAATGGAGAAACATATGAATATATGATCTATTTAAATTTTTATTAAAATTGAATAAATAATATATCTAAAACATAGTTAATAGTAGTATATATCCCAAAGAGGGCCGATAAACTAGCTTTTGAGATATGCCGATGACAACCCAAAAGATTGTCGTCTCTGATGTTCTCGTGCTGGAGAAGGAAGCCGCCACCACCCAAACCTGAATCGATATCTTTCCCCGGACTCAGGGAGAAATCTTCTGCTCCGGAGACGAAGGAAACAGGAAGATTGAAATTGATATGGAAGGAATTGTTGTTACTGAATCTTATTCGCTCAAGGAAGAAAGTAACAAAGTTTGAAGAACTCCCAAATCCTGAACAAAAAGCTTCAAAGGAATTGAAACATTTGGTTCAAATGCTCTGATGAACAACTGGCACTACAGCACCAGCGGAAACACCAGAAAAGGTGGAGCTGGTGCTGGACCAAGAATTGGATATGTTTCTGACTACCCTTCTAAGCTAATTGAGCCATTATTGGTTTAATGCTATTATCAATTGCTTATTTAGTTTTTATTCATATATATGTATATATATGTACTGACATTCTGCATGAAGATTTCAATTTTTTGTGTATTCCTGCTTCTTTTAAGTTTCGACAGCCATGGAGGGGAAAACGAGGAAGACTTTCCAAATATTTTAATTTCCTTTCCATGTGGCCATATGCTGGAATAAAATACCCCTCCCATGGATTTTGGAAATACATGTCAGCAAGAAAATATTATTTTAGTGGATTAAAATCAGACCTAGAGCTCCGTCAGTTTTTAGGGGCATAAACGAGCCATTTGACTAACGGCGAGGGTAATTTTGGGACTATAATCAAACTGGTATAATTGTTCTATTTCCAATAGCAAAGGGGCAATTTGGCCCTTTTCCGTTTAAACAATTGGTAAGGTGAGGGTGGAAGTATAAGTGCATACTTCTTGGAGTCGTTTGGTGATTTACTCCTTCGATGGTAATGGGAATTGTGGATCGGTGACCAAATTCAACATCCTCTTTTGCAAACAATAGTTGAATTACCTTTATTCTATGGATCTCTGTCAAGTTCCGAAGCTTTTGTATGGGCTCTATAAAAAGCGGATCATGTGTAATTATTGTTTTAAACAAGGCTACGTTGCTATGCATTTCAATTCAAAGCAAACTTATTGACAGTAATTGTTCATCTTGCAGCTTATCCAGATTACAGCACCGCTACCATCTATCCTTCAAACACGAGAAGAAGGCAAGGCGAATCAGCCAAATTCCAGCTAGAAGTATATTCCGTGCGTGCCCCTGCTACTAGGTAGTCAAGCTTATGGCCTGCAGATACCGTTGGAATGATTAAAAGATTCAAGTCATGGCACACACAATGTTGATTAATGTGACTTGTAAGTTTATAACTTAGAAGCGTGTTTTTTCTATTTTCCGTTTTCTTTGGTCAAAAGATTTTGGAAAGAAGAGATGGGGAATTTTTAAATCTAGACCAGATTAAAAAAAAATTTAGTGGGATCTTTACCAGATATTTTGCGGCTGGGCCTGTGAAAACGATTATTGACTTTAATCACACCCGTCATCACGGGGCGAACCAAGAAACAAAAGTCAGTGATAGGTGCGGTGGGACCCAGCTAAAAAGAGACCCCGTGTTTTTTTTTAACCTATCCTTTAATCTCACCTGTCAAAGAGGCCAGCTGTCACTAACCAGTATCTATCCAAATGCAATCATCATCCGAAGTGAAGAATCCACTAGAGACAAGCTTCTCTTCCCACAGTCAAACTAATGTTCAACTTAAATCTAACCTTCCTTGTAATCAATCCTCTGCAGTTAGAAATAACCGCCCCCAGAACAACATCAGCAACCCCTTAATAACAATATCAAACACCAACAGGAAAAAATCAGCACAAAAAATTAATAACGTGTAGGTAACAACAACGGTCCAGTATAGTTCCATAAGTGGGGTATGGGGATGGTAATATGTATGCAGACCTTACCCCTATTCCGGGGGCAAAGAGGTTGTTTCTAGAAGACCCTCGGCTCAAGAAAGTAACAAGAGACGATATATTAATACCATCAATAGAATCATAATAAAATAACAGCAATATAAAAAATACGAAATAGATAAAAAGGGAGAAACGCTGTAAGAAGAAGCAAAAGATACTGAATTTCTTCCACCTCCCAAGCTTCTGATAAATTATTGCTGTATTTCCATCAAATACAACAAATACAAAGCTACTGGCAAATATTACAGACACCTAGAATTCTGTAACAAAAAAGACGGCAACTACTACCGTCTACTGCCTATAAGTTTCCTGAATTAAAATTACAAAAACTATTGTACATTGTGGCAAAAAGAGAATTGCCACGGAGACCATCCACTGGCCTCCCTTGCGATCAACTACCTGCTGATATCACCCTTACTTAACCAATAATCATCTTCTCTGATAATGCTTGTCGCCTGCCCACTAAATTGTTCCGCTTTGGCATAATGCATTTTGATTGCAGCCACCGGATCAGAGACGCCGGTGCACTGCCCTCCCACCAGAATCCCTCCTCTACCAACAACCACACCCCTTGCCTGTTGCTGCATACTGGACACCACATCGAACCCATTTCTTCTTTGCATCTCAGAGAACACCGCATCTTGCCTCTGTTTCATTTCTATAGTAAAAGGCTGCACATCTAGACTCCTGTACACTTGATAATCTGCTGCTGCTACTCCATTGTTGCTACTTACATCTCTAGTCGGAAAGACAGGGACACCGTTCAAACTCCGATCAGTGGCTGTCTTCACAACCCCATGCAAAGGAGGCTGTTGTTCCACTTTGCTGGAAGATATCGCATAATTACCAAATGCAGCAGGATATTTTGCCAGCAAGATAGCAGAGTCAGGCAACGAAGAAAACCCTGTTTGTATTCTATTTCCATCCCAGAAACCAAAACTTCTTACTTGATGATTCTCAGAGCCCAGGAAGTTATTGCGCTCGAATTTGGCAGTGGCTGAATTCCCATCTAAACTGTGACTTGCACTGGACATATTGCTACAAACTTTCAACTGCTGATTGCTACTATCACTCTGCTGCGCGTTGGAACTGGTATTCGCTTGAGGGCACGGTTTACTGAGAATCTGTCCAAACAATTTCACATCACCATTCCTACAAGGTTTATCAACATTTGATGAGCTACCTCCTACTGTCTGTTCTCGGTTAGTACCATTGCACCTCTGGAGAAAGAAACCAGTTGTATCTGAACGTAGATTCTTACCCACTTTCTGGATTTCTTGCAATGCAGCTGATGTACTGCAGCCATCTCCACTCTCCTTCGTGGCTGACTCCCCCAATGAATAGCTGCCAAGAATCTGCCTGGATTCAATATGTGCTATCTGTGAGGTACTCGGCAAGGGCTGCTCAGCTGACTGAGTAGCATTCTCACGCTGCTGATCACCAACATTCTCAAGTTCTAGTTCTGATAAATAAACGGCATTAGAAGCTCGAGGCATTTTTTTCCTCTGAACTGAAATATTGCTTCCCGAGTAATTGACACCAGGCTTACACTCAGAATCAGATTCCAGAAGAGTCATATTCTGAGATCCATTAAGAGGGCACAATTCAGCTCCCCTAACAGCAGCAAGATGTGAATTACTCCCGGACGAAACCATATTGGACTTGGTATCTTCCAAAGAGAAGTTTGACCTACTTACTTCAGCGCTATCTGCCTTTCTATTTTTCAAATCATGTTCAGGCACCACTCCCTTTATTTCTTCCCCTGAATGCTCGCCAGAAACTTTATTGGCACACAATATGTCATCCGGACCATTCTCAGAGACATCTCCATCAATTTGAACACCACCTTCCTGAGAAACCGTAACCATATTTTCATCCCCTAGACCATTTTCAGTACAAGCACCCTGAATCTCACAATGCCTGTTAAATTCCACCCTTTGCTTATCCACATGACAATTTACCTGAACTGAATTCTTTGACACAAGTTCAGTATCTACTGAATCCAGTTCTCCAGCCCCATCTTTATCATCAGAGCTGGTCATATCAGGCTTTGAAATCCCTGCACTCACACATAAATCAGATAGCTCTTTCAACTTCAAACTTGATTTTTCATTACAGAACAGCTCAGTCTCCATAACACAAGCATCAGGATCATTTCCACCATTAACATCCTGCCTCACCAAATTGCCAGGTCCAGGAAGAATCTCATCCAGTCCGAGACACTTCCTGGCCTTGCTAAAGAATATCTTGCACTGCTCCCGGGATCTCGTTCGAACACATCTTGATACCATAACAAAATCTTTGCCATAAGCTGACACGGCCTGGATGAAGATTGATTTCTCTTCATCCGTCCAATCAGTAGGATCCATCTCGCCACAACTCTCATCTGAACAGGTTTCATCATCAACACTCTGGGTAACCTCTGGAGTCAGGGGCAATCTGGTCGATGAACCCACTTTCTGGTGCTTCCATTCCTGGTTTCCTTCTGCAGGATCAATTGAACTTGTAATGCAGGAACTCATAGCTTCTGATGATAAGGAACCACAGATACCAGTCAAAACATCAGCAGCCACTCTTTCTCTTTCACTATGACATACATCAAGACTGTTTGACCTCTCCAGCTCATTGTGTCTGGACGTCTTGTGCTCAGTGACCATTCGAACTGAGTACTTTGACGTACACTTTTGCTGAATCTCAATACTATCCTCAACATTAGCTGCAATTGCTGATGCAGCACCTAAGATATCAAGAGAAACAGAATTAGCCTCACGGTTCCATCTTTTCCCAGAAGAAGCAACAAGGTAGGTATTTGCAGAACAAACTTTTGCTTGTTTAGAATAATCTGGTTTTCTCTTTGTTCTCTCAAAACAATCTGATTTGTGATTCTTGTAATAGAACTCTATGCAATCAGCAGTTGTTTTATGATCAAGAAAAGAAGCGATCTTCCTGAAGTCTTTCCCAAAGGTAGCAAGTTTGTCAATAAAAATTTCTCTCTCCTCTGATGTCCATGGATTGATCACAGACCTTTCTTTCTCAACAGCACAGGGATCTTCCACCAGACTATTTTTTGAAATAAACCTTGACATCGCCCTCTCCTTCTGATCTAAAACTAAAGCAGGCATCCTTAACGTGTTCCTGTAGACCTTCGCCCTAAGATCTGAGAGCAGCCTGCTTGCAAAGTTCAATACTTCCAACGAGGGTACCAGGCTTGAGTTTCCAACTGCATTGGCAATGGACATTTTTAAAATCAGTATTGTAAAGAAAACGAACATGAAGGCAAACAAAGCCACTGGGATATTGCTAAAGCTAAAGAAGAAAAAGATGAAAACAGCTTCACACATATTTACATAGTATGCATATCTCAAGGAAGTTGTAATTTCTTTTGCGTCCAAGACAGCTTCACGCAGCTCTCCCACAAGCAAGGGTAAACCTGCCATGGAAGCTGGTACAGATGGGCTCTCTCACACTGAATGTTGTAGTTGGGATATAAAACTGGGTTCTTCGGGTTGCTAGCCTGTTGTCACTTATACGCCTGAACCAGTCAGTCATCCCCAGTTATCCCCTCGGCAATAAAATTAAGGAACTAGCTAAATTGGAAACAAACAACTAACATATAATCACACATGACCATCTTCTTATGTGCTTTTGCTTTAAAATACTACTTACAACGTGAGAAACAAAAAAAATCATGAAGTGGGATTGTAGATATCTAAATTCCAACAAGAATTTACAATGTGCTACTTATTGAAAGCATTAGACAGCCACGCACAACCTGCAAGACATGACTAAATATACAAGAGTATTTCAAACATCGCCCCATTTTAGTCCTCCACGAAAGCTATTGCAAATGTCTTGGGTGTGGGATACGTACCGGATATGGTCAATAAACATTGGTACTTTGACCAAAGACCACAATCTAAGGAAAAATTAGAGAAAAGATTTGGCATTTTGATTTCTCAGGACAAAAGCTACTGTGGATTTCTAGATGGCTACCTACAACTTGAGAATAATACGGATTCTACAAGCTACATGTACGTTCTCCACATAATGTCTCATGATTTACGCATATTTTTATAGCTCTATTTAAGATACAGCCAAATCCCCGGACCTTTATTTGGATCCGTACCCATGAATCTTAAAATTTACAAAATGTAGGATTCAACCTCTAGATCTGCACCCGTACCGCACCCGAGTCCAAGCAACTTAGCAAGAACCTAATAAACATTTTTTATGGATCAGACCTCCAGCACGTAAAGAGACAAGAACGCTTAAAAATAGAATTCCACATTTTAAAACTTAAAAAAATAAGTACCTCTCAAATCAAAGAGCAAAATTGTGGTAAAGATTGAAAAAAAAAATCGAAGTAGAAACTGTCTAGATTATCAAAATAGATTCTAATTCATGAGGGCCAATGCCATGAACTAGTAAAACGAGGACCACCGGAAATGGCACGGAACCTAGTTCGTAGGAGCTATAACATTGTCTGATTACCCTCCGGGCAACGAACAACAAATTGAGTACAATTAATTCCAAATTATAGAATAGCAGCTTAACTTTGATTCATCTAACTACACCCTAACTCTGAACCACAATGTTGAATGTTGTACCAACACATTAAACAAAAGTATCACACTTAAAGTTCATCTCAATGGATAGTGAAACCAAAATGAGGCAAGAAGAGTGTAAGGTTGCAGCACGGCACCAAAATATCCCTATCTTGAAACTTCTTCGACTTTGGTATAGCAGATTTTTTGAATCTATAAAAGATACGCGCCAAGAGACTGATAAAGTCATTCAAACACATATTTTCATCAAGCACAACTATAGGCATAAAATAAAGGGATTATAATGCCGAAAATGTACACTCATAGCATAGCAAATAAACTAACAGCGGGTTATTTTGACACAGAAAAAAAAAACAAGGGGGTTCATGGTGCAGAAGAAAAAATAAAGGAAATAACATACCAGTAGTCGAAAATCGTGAACGAACTGTAGAACGGTGTTTCTGATGTCCTATCTGCACAGGGCGCAGGCTGAAATCAAACTTTTTCTGAGACTTCGCACGAAACTTCCTCGCAGAAAGCATGCGCATATCTTCCTTCCAAAGGTGCTGATGTACCCTAAACTTGAGGGCAATGATCTTTTCTTTGAACTGTTTAAACTGCTTCCTCCTAGCAAATCTTTCCTTAACCGCATGATCAATTTGCAAAGAAGACACACTTGAAAAATCAAAACTGCATTTGCCAGCAGGCAGTAGGTTCTTGAATACATCAAATGCTCTGTATGCAGTGTCTTTGTTGGCAGCTAATATCAAATTATATAAAGCATCTTTTCCGCAGTTCAAACTGCCATCAGAAACAGGTCGAGAACAACGGGTAGTCAGCTGGAAGCTCTCCACGCAGGCAAGTGTGTCCCTTGCCATATCCTCACTAAAACTGCACACTTTCACATCTGAACTTCTAGACTTCGCTTTGTCCTCAGTGGAACTGCACACTTTCACATTATTACTTAAAGACTTACTGTCATCTGAAATCAACATTCCACCAACATGTTTCATGGCACCAATAGGTGCCACATCTTTCTCTGAGGGTAATTCAACAAACTTTGAAGTTGCACTGCCTGGACTATCAATGTCCTCAACTTTCACCTCAGCGTGCTCCTTTTCCTGTATATTAGTCCCTTCCTCTCCAATTACATCTTCCGGTATAACAACTTGCAATGGAGCAGGTCTAGAAGCTATATTAGTAGTGCCTTGATCTTCATGAGAGTTTGAGTTGCACTCTTTTCGTGGAGAACAGGACCCAGATGGAACAAGCTGGGTATATTCAGGTTCAGATATCAATGTCTTCAGTTCATTCTCAAGTGAATCAATCTCAACTTCAGTTTTTTCTAGCACCTTTGAAATATCGTTCTTCCAAATTAGCAACTTGTTCACTGCCGTTGATCTCATAAAACCAGAGTCCACGGAACTTGAGTCCTCAGATTGTAACAATTCATTGATTGAAGAGTTCAAATTGGAGATTTGTGAAAGATCAAAATTCTCTAAGTTAAAAGCAAATTCCTCAGAGTGATACTGGGAGATGATACTGGGGGAGCCACATAAATTACCAACATCCTGATCAATGTTTGTTGCCTTGACAGGTTGTTTATCCTCAAGACCTGTTAAAAACAAAATGTGAATAATTTTCATCTTTTCTTAATCTCTTGTACTTAAAAAGGTTAACTAGTCTCATTATCTGGTATTCAACTGCAAAACCATAATATCATATCAACCCACTTAAAAAGACAATACAGGGACAGAAATAAAAAGGCAAGCCTATGTCTAGAACATACGAATTTTCTCTAATAAATGGAGTCAGAGAAAGGAGATTCTAGGAAGGATTCTGCTACGAAACCATAATACAGATAAGAAACATAGATAATCAGATGCATGTCTTGATCCTTCAGCAAACCAACGAATGGGAGCAATAGAAGCTAAATCTTTCTTGACTACTACAAAAGCTCCACAAAATAGTATCAAATCTTTCAAGACAGGGATATGCAGTAGTCATGATGCAAAGTATATGCTCCCACACCAAACAAATGTTATAAGTTAGTGAACCGCTACACATATTGGGTCTGCGGAGAAGCCAAAAATATCAGAAAGAGCTAAAGTATCAAGCAATAGATAGTGGGATTTGTTGAATTAGGAGCATACCAAGTAAAATAACTCTACCATTCTAGTTACTAGCAAATTTGTGAAACTTGCCTTTTAATGTATTCATAAAGGTGAAGATTGCATTACATATTATGCCTGCAAATGCAAAAGTTCGATGATTTTAAATCAAATCAGAAATCCATGACCTTCACCCTATCCAATTAAATTTTGAAAGTGGGGATATTACACTTATATTGAACTACATAATCATTTTCCGAAGTACAATTCAAATTAAGACTGAAAATGTGTCCAAGATGCAGATCAAAGAAAAAGCCTAAGTACAGTTCCTGACAGTTCAGATCCTTTAACACACAAACAACTACTTTGATCCCATCGTTTCCAGCGTGCTTCTTTCTTTCTTTTGGATAAGGTTAATGTATACTTTCCAGTCTTCTTTTCCCTGTCAATTATTTGTTTTTTTGGGCATTCTTTTTATATTTTGGCAATTTGCCACTACATGTTTTTTGGGCATTCTTTTTATATTTTGGCAATTTGCCACTACATGTTTTTTGGGCATTCTTTTTATATTTTGGCAATTTGCCACTACAGAAAGGATGGGAGTAAATCCACAGCGTGCACCTATTTAACAGCATTACAATAAGGAATTACTTGAGAATAATACCTGGGGAAGAACTACAAGCAACTGACGAAGGTGTGGTAGGAGAGGGACAATCCAGAGAAACAGCAACCCTTGGGCTTTTATCTGCCGTGTTCAAGGGGTGAGGATGACCAGGTTCCACACTATCACCAGAGATACAAGCTCCCACCTTAGCAGCACTATCCTCGGGGACTTTCTTCTTCTCATACTTGGCCAGTCCTTCACCCCAACCCAGGCGCGGCTTCTTCCGGGAAGAAGTTTCTTCAGAAGGGGCAGCAGAAGTTACACATGCAGTTGCATCCCCTGTAGGAGATTGCAGAGCTTTTGAGTTTCCAGGCTGCAACTCCGGCTTTGTCTCGTTAGAATCGACTCCCATGCTTTTCGAGCTGCCTGAATGACTTAATGATCCCCTGGACGATAAACTTCCAGACCGAGCCCATTTCAGTGGCCTCCATTCAATTGACCCCAGCGAGTTCCCCCTCTCAAATCTTTGGCCCGTGCTTGCTGTTCCATTAGCGCTACCACTCTTATTGTGCTGGTCTCTAGAGTGAGACTGATCCCATGTATTGTTGACATGCTCAGAATTGTGTGGGACCACAACATCCGCTGGCCTCTGATCATTTGTAGCAGTATCATGCTGTCTTACAGGACCACTGGGGGATGCAGCAGCTTCCCAAGAGAGACCACCACCTCTTCTCCAATCCCTCTGACCACCAAAAGACCTATTTTCCCTGCTACTACTCCTGCTGCCATACTTCCCACCACCATCCCCACGAGACTGCCGACAGCTCTCATCTTCCACAATCTTTTCATTGGAACGAGAAGGCATGAAACCATGTCCGGATTCTTCTGGATACATGTGCCAACTACCCTGCTTACCATGACCTTCAGCAGAAAAAATTCAAACCCCCAAAAATAAGGTAACCAAAAAAGGAGGCAAAAATCAACAGATGCAAACAAAATACATAATTTTAGAAGGCAAAAAGAGGAATTTCACATGAACTTCTAACTTGTGCAAAACAATAGACCGACAGATAAAGCAAGAAAATCACAGATCTACACACTATTAAGGAGAAAAACCAAACCCAAAGTCAACTTTTGTGCAGTTTAGGCAACAGATCAGCCCTAGACATAAGTTCATATATACCGTAGAAACCATATTTACTCAAACCCCAAAGAACCAAATAATTATAGATCTAAAACAAAAGCCATAAGACCCGCACGAATTTCTAGATCGAGAAATTTATTACAAAAGCGATAAACTGACCCAAAGGACGATAAAATAAAAACCCTAGATTAAGGGGCAGCAGTAAAGAAAGAAGATAAAAAAAAAAACTTACCAGGAGGGGCACCTCTAGTAGAGCGAAAATCAGCGGGAACCCAACGAGAAGAACCGTAGTGGTGGCGCGGCGGAGGCTCCCTCCAGCGGGGCCCACCCCTCAACAGTTCTGAACGATCGTGCTGCCTCCTCTCCTTGAAGAAATCCTTCCGATCCCAAGGTAATGGCTCCGACGGCATCTATTCTTTTTCTCCTCAATTGCATCACACACACAAATATCAAGCTAAAAATTCCACCACACCCCAACAACCACCAAAATCGAACCAAACAACAAAAAACCCAAACTAAAATCGAAACAACCCCACACAAAAAATCAGGGCCAGAAAAAAGGAAACAACAGCCGTGACAAATAAAAGATCCCAAAACTGCACCAAACACCCCGCGCCACCATAAAAAAGAAAAAGTAAACTAGGGTTAGGGTTTTCCTAAATTAAAATAAAAACAAATATTGAACAGAGAGTTTGCCGAATCTTGCTGTCTTCTTCTTCTGCTTCTTGTGGTGATTCTTCAATGGAGAATCAGAGAACCAAAAAAAGAGGGTAAGAGAAAAGAGTGTATTTGTTGATAAGGGACAAAAGAAAAAAGAGGCAACCCCAGAGAGAGAGAATAGAGAGAAGAGAGGGAAAGAAGAAGAAGAAAAAAGGATTTTTAATTTGTTTTTCTTCTCTCTTTTCTTTTTCTCTTGATGAGATGAGATAAGAGAGAGAGAGAGGGAACGTATGCGGATCTCAACCCTCTTATTGTGCCACATTTCATTCAACTTTTGCATCCGATTCTTATTTTATTTTCCTTTTCTTTTTATTGCTACTAGTAGTATTTATTTTAATTTTAGTATCTACGTGCATTTATTATTTTCATTTATGTTTTCTTTTGTGGGTTATTTAAATAAAAACTAAAATTGAGTAGCAAAGGCTGTTCTCTCTAACTTGGGAAATCGAAATTGTTGAACTGGTTGCGGTTCTGTCTACCCCCTTCCCTCGTTTTACCGCCTCTTACTTTCTGCTCATTGTATCCTTTTTATTTTTTACAATCATGCCCTCATTGTATCCTTTTTGTTTTTTACAATTATGCCCTTAATTGTGTGGATGATTTACAATCATGGTTAATAAATATTCAAGAACCTTTTTTTTGTTTTGATTTCCCATCCTATATCCAAAACACATATCGATGAGAATCATTAAAAGAAAAATATTTTTAACTTATTTTTTTCATTCTCAAAAGTATAGAATATTTGATTAAGGGTAAAAAAATCTTATCTATATCACTATAACTATTGGTGATATATTCACGACCTTGAAAAAGTTAGGTCATTTGGTCTAAGACTAGACAAGGATTAATAGCAATAAAACAATTTCAATACATATTTTACTTACTTTTTAATAAAAGTGTTTGTTCAATATAAGGGGTTATTTTAGTTATTTCTTTCCAAATTATTAATCACTGTATTTTTATTTTGTTTTTATCTCCCTTGAGATAATACATACACTCATACTATAATTTAAGTGAGTGTGTCATTTAATATATAAAAATGGTATGCATTGCTATGCTTGATTTCGAGTACATAGTTGAATCCAAAGGAGCCCCAAGCACATTCAGATTGATCTCTCTCTCTCTTTTGGGGGGGGAGGGGATACCTAAAAACTCCTAAAATTGGCATAGATTATTAGTTACACCCCTAAAATTGGCATGATCTTAATTATCCTCTTGAACTTAGTTTTTGAGAGTCATTATCTCCTGGATGTTGAAATAGTAAAGAATATGGATACACTCTCTTTTAAGCGTGTGGGAGTGAAGAATATTTGAAAAATCAATTTCAAGTAGGTTCTTTTTTAATAATTATCATAGTCATAGATAATGATTTATTTGTTACAACTATGTATTTCTTCATGGTTCATCTTAATATACTAATTACCCCAATTTTTATTATTTTTAATTTCTTCTATAGATACAACAACAACAGCATATCAGTATTATCCAACATTGTGGAGTCTGGGAAGGATAATGTATACGCATAATGAAAATAAGCACCATATTAATGAAAATATATACAAGAAGGGACAGAGCTGTAGACATGTGATTTTTGACCCTCCCCAAGATTTTTCATATTTTAGCGCGTAAATATTTAATTTAGGCATAATATAGATATTTTAAGTAATTTTGACTCTTTTACTTTATTTTATTACAAGAAAACAAAAATTACAAAAATAGGTTCATTAATGTTTTATAGTCATTTTTAATCTTAAAAAAATACAAAAATAGTATCGTATTTTTATTTTAATATGATATTTGAAAATACCAAAAATAGATTTGTTTTAATGGTTAGTTTTATTTTAATAATTATTTGAATAGTACGAATAATTAACAAATGGGCCCGTATTTTTAATCTCGTTCGCAGCGAAAGAATAGAGCTTGGGCTCGAGCAACCCATCTTTATGCCTAATTTTGGACTTAGCCCACAATTGTCAAGCCCATAAATCTTAGGCTCATACCCACTAACCTAAAAACCCTACAAAAACTAACCTAGACCTATGTATATATAAACAAGCTAACACTTAACGAGGAGGGGGGTATGAAACGAAGGTTGCGCATGAAAATGAAACGCTGAAGAGCAAAAAGAAAACAAAAAAGTTGAACGAAAAGGAACGAAAAAAAGCAGCAAAAGTTGCGCATGAATAACGAAGAAGGCTGAGAACGAACAAAAGTTGAAAGCAGCAGCTAAAAAGGCTGTGCGAAAGCGATCCCACCCCCCACCCCCGACTCCATCTTCTCCAACGAACCCCCCTTTTTTCCAGAACTGCTTCTCCAACAGCCCACAAAACTGGGAACAACCCAGCTCGCCAGAGAAAACACTGACGATCCCTGAACGTTAATCGTCAAACAACCCCGTCTCTGCCTGAAACTCGCCGGAAAAACGAGCTTCACCAACTCGTCGGATTAACGAGTTCCAGACGCGACAAACAGAACCAAGCGACCTCACCCAGCTCACCATCGTCGCTGGACCTCCGTTCACTGCGAAGTTGCCATTTCCGACGAACACGTCACAAACGACCAGCCAACACCAACCAGCGACCTCACGATTCAAACCAGCCCTAAGTCGCGATTCCTTCATAACCACCATGACAGCCCTTCTTTACAAAGAACCAACCACTCGTCGTTTCCCATAAGACAGCAGCAACGAGGTGTCGTGAAAACAGAGTGAGATATCGAGGGAGGAGCAGACGCTCAGGTCTGGGTAACGGGTGTGGCAAGGCAATCCGGTCAGGGTTCGATAAGGTTTCCGGCGTGGGCCGACGATGTCATTTGCGCTCAATCTTGTCGGGGTAATTTCCCGTCTCCTTTGTAAGCCAACTAGTTCTTATTGATATGTTCGTAAGCTTGAGAAAGGTTCATTCCTCCCATTCTCATTATATTCATGCTTATTGATATATGCCCTCAGCTGCAAAATTTCACTGAATGTAGGATATTACTGTTTGTTTGAGTTTCTTAATTGCTTGCTCTCTTGATTAATCAAAATTTGCTCCCATGTGTTTATGTTGTTCTCTTTTAAGAAGTCACATGTGAATGTTAGCTTAGAGTTTGTTAACGTAAATTGTTGGGTTGATTTAATTAGACTCAAGAAAGAATTTGAACCAGGAATTGGATTGTAGTTACTGTAGAGGTATCCGTTTAATAGCTCTAGACTTAGATCCGAGTATTTTGTGTTCTTTAATAGTTGAATGTTATATATGAATATCTGTAGTTCACTTAGTGGAGTGCTTTTTCTTTAATAACTGATGCGCGCCATAGTATATAATTCTAGCAATATATGGCTCTCTAAAATTGTGTTTGAATTCCCTTTTAGAATTGGAATTGAGATGTCGTGCCAAATGAAACCTCAAATGCATGATCCTCGCTTAGTTAGTATTTCAGTCCTTAAATTCGCGGCGTGCCATTTAGTTTAATTTTCAGGGCCCTCGCAAAGTTGCAACATGTAGTTGCTTTAAGTGCGACATTTTAATAAAGTTATTTTCCTAAATTCGGGTGCACATTTATGTGACCCAAATCCAAATCTCAACGATGTTAAAATATGTCAAAAACCACAGGTGCATTTATGTGACGTGTTTCGAGACGTGTTTTAATAACGTTGCAATTTTCTTTAAAAAATAAATAAAAGCGGTTAAAAAGTTAAAATTGCACATAGGTTAAAACCTGTATTAAAATCAGATAATTAAGCCAATTATAACAGTTGAGAGACCGTGCTAGAACCACGGAACTCGGGAATGCCTAACACCTTCTCCCGGGTTAACAGAATTTCTTACTCGAATTTCTGGTTCGCGGACTATTAAACAGAGTCAAACTTTTTCCTCGATTTGGGATTAAACCGGTGACTTGGGACACCATAAATCTCCCAAGTGGCGACTCTGAATTTTATTTAAAAAAACAATAAATCTCGTTTCGATTGTCCTTTAATTGGAAAAATTCCCTTATATTTATACCCTTTACGGGGTGTAGATAAAAAAAGGAGGTGTGACAGCTCTGGCGACTCTGCTGGGGAACGAACCCAGAATCTCTGATTCAGGGTTCAAGAATTCGAGCTTAGATGAATTGTTGTATTTGGCTTTATTTATTATATGATTTTATTCACATGTTTGGGCCTAATGTGCTAAATGTTGCTTTTTATCGCTTTGATATTATATGAACTGTATATATAAACTGTTACGAAACCCCTCTTTTCTCTCTCCTGAGGAGTGCACGTTGGTCGTGACTTCTTTCTGTTAGTGTCAAATCCCAAATAGAACGAGGCTCGGACAAGTTGCAAAGTCGGATGATCCTTTGGTTACCGGTATGCAGCCCCCTCCTCGGCTCGAGTTGTCCGCTCGGGTAAGCCAGGTCTAGAACAAATAAACCCAGGTTTTAAACCTAGTATAACAAAGCCTCATGTCGGATCCCTAGCAGGAACGCTTATCTGCATCATGTGCATTTGACTTAGGGGACTCAACACAGGGGTTGGGTTCGTCTAGGACAAGTGTACACAAAATAACAAACCATCTTGATTCATCCTATGTGCTACATGTTGCATTTCTTCAAGGGTAAAAGGGTCATTTGGCAGACCAACGATAATTGAGTGCAAATGAAAAAAATGGAAAAAAAGAAAAAATAAAGGAAAAAGAGAGGGTGAAGTGTGAAGATAAAGCGAGTGGGGCCTAATTATGTTTTGTGTCACAATTTTGTTAAGAAAAAAAAATAAGAGAGCTTGAAAATTCAAAAAAAAAATGATTTTGCATTTTTTCATCATTTTTCGAAAAATCAAAAATCAAAAAAAAAGAAGGAAAAAGAAAATCCAAAAAGATTTTGTATGTTTCATCATTTTTCAAAAAAAAAAGACAAAAAAAAAAAGGTTTTCTCTAAAAATAGTTGTTTTTTTTCTTGCCCGTATCCAATTTGTCCGAACTACGCATACCTGATTCTCGTCTTTCGGGACGTGATACGTAGGCAACCCACATATGGTCCGGTCTTCCTAGTAAATCTTAGGTTCTTGGCTTTGCGGGGTCTTAGCCAAATTTTGCACTTCTAATCACTTTTTGACCAAATAAGTCATTTTGCAAAAATAGCCTCAATCATGTCTTGCATGTGTCTAGTAGGGAATGTTATTGTCTCACATAGTGTTGGTTTA